TCTTCAGTTGATGAGCACTTTGGCTGTCTCCATCTTTTTGGTATTGTAAATAGTACTACTATGAACGTTGGTGTGCATATATCTTCTCGTGTTATGGCTCATATTTCTTGTGGGTAAATAAATACCAAGTAGAGGAATTGCTGGATCGTAAGGTATTTCTATTTCTGCCATTTGGTTTTAAGTGGAAACTGTCACTTTAAATTTTGAGGAGATCTGTGTGCATGTGTAGTAGAACCTTCCAAGGTTGGGGGTTGGGTGTCCATTTGCTCAGACAGATACAAAAAAGAACGTCCACACCTTTATCTCTATGGTTCTGTCAGGCGTCAGTGGCTGTTCTGATCCTTCCCCTGCTTGGTCTTGCCCAAGATGGCAGCTCTGGGAGCAGCTGAGCATCCTGAATTAGAAAGCAATGGATTTCTTGCTTTTGCCACAAATTCCCCTAGCTGTAAGCCTTCCAACCTTCTAAATCTTCCTTTATATGTGGTTCAGAGTTCTGGGAATATCCCCTGAGCCTGCTTAGTCCAGTATTCTGTGTTGTTGGTGATGGAGCTCCTTACTACACTTCCACCCGATTCACTATCTTGTTTGTTCTTCCTGTTATTTATTCTTGGTTGAAGTTTCACATGTGCATTTCTTCTAAGCTGGATAAAGTATTTAGAACTAAAATTATGGGAAAGTCTCTGCCCCATAGGATCCCTGGTGGCTCAGCACATAAAGGGCTCAGTTGCTACCCAAAGGTCAGTGGTTCAAACCCATCAGCCCCTCACTTCCAGGGAGAAAGATGAGGAAGTCTGCTTCCATAAAGATTTATAACATTGGAAATCTTATGGGGCTGTTCTACTTTGTCCTTTAGGGTTGCTATGAGTCAGAATCAACTCTATCACAACATGCTTGGCTGTTTTTGTGTGTGTATGTGTTGGGGTTTTTGTTTGTTGTTTGTTTTGTGCTAAAACACCAGGCTCAGACAGACCTGGATATGATCAATTGTAAAATCAAAAATGAAGATTAAAGCTAAAATTACATTGTTGCTGTTAGCCAAGATGACATAGCCATGTAGAAATTCAACATTTTATACTTTATCTCATGCCAGCACTCAGGATCAAATTCCACCAGGGTGGGTAAATGGAAAGAATCCTTTTGCTACCGTCTTAGTGAACAACCCCAGAGGAACATGATCTTTTTCCACTTAGCCTCCCAGGGGCATCATTTACAGATGAGGAGGGTGGAAATCTCTGCACCTTGTGGAAGTTACAGCTATAACCTTGACAGATAGGAGGCAGCAAAGCAGATTCAAGTTTTCACTGTGACAGCTGAACTAATTAAGGTGCTCAGCCTCTCCAAATCCCTCTTCAGGCTTTAGAAACTAATCATTATGCTGAAACAAAACGTTGAAATCCAACTTGGTTTATAAAAAGTATTTCAAGCTCTCCAAAGAAGAAACATTTTCTTATGATAATTTGTTGTTGTTCTCAGATAACTTTCATTAGGAGCAGTTGCTAGTGATTTATTTTCAATTTCTGAAATTGTGATAAACCCAAGAAGTAATTGAAGTTATGCCATCACAATGTGGACAAGGCAATTCATTCCCTGTCTTTAAAAATAGAAATAAACCACCTATTTGAGGGGGCATTTGCATAAATGGGAACCCTAGTGGTATTGTGATTAAAGCGTTAGCTGCCACCGATAGGTCAGTGGTCTGGATCTACCAGCCACTCCATTGGAAAAAAGATGTGGCAGATTGCTTCCATAAAGATTTATAGTCTTGGTGGGTCAAAGTCAGCAGCCACTTCTCAGAAACCATATACAGGGTCTTAATGAGCCGGAGTTGACTCAACGGCACGTAACAACAAAAATGCCTAGGATATTGATGTTTATGCTTTCCATTTCATTTTTTATAACTTCTGTTTTCCTAGATCTATACTTTTTAATTCATGTTCTGATTATTAATGGATGTTTACAGCTGTTTTGCCTCATTTTGTGTTATTTCTGAAAAGCTTTACTTCATTCTTGTCATCATGGTCAACTCTCCTTTGAGTAGGCACCTCTTCCCCAGACATATATGAGTGCCTTCCAATCTGAGGGGCTGATCTTCCGGCATTAAATCTGATAATATTCTGGTGCTATTCCTAATGTTTTCATCTTACTTGACTAAATCTGACTATTTGTTGCTGCTATTTATAAGGTTTTCAGTAGCTAAACATTCAGAAGTAGTCCACCTCTTCTTCTTCTTGTCTGTCTTCCGCTGAAACCTCCACTGAAACCTGTTTACCATGGGTGACGCTGCTGGTATTTAAAAATACCGGTAGCATAGCATCCAGCATCACAGCAACACACAAGCCACCACAATACACAAGCTGACAGATGAGTAGTAGTAAACAACCAATCATAGGAGATCAAAAAAGACAGCGTTTGCCCATAGAGAAACCTCAAAAGGCAGGAAGGAATGGTAAAGAAGGATGAATGGAATTAGTAAATACAGGAGGAAGTAGGAAGAGTATTGTTACATTGTGAAGATTGTAGTCTCTGTCACAAAACAGAACGTGTATGAATTGAATAGAAAACCAATTTGCTTTATAAACTTTCAGCCATATCACAATTAAAAAGCCAATAAAAAATTATTTATAACCTTGGAATCCCAATGAGAAATTCTACTGTCTTATAGGATGGCTATGAATTGGAAACGACTCAACAGCAGTAGGTTTGTTGGATTTTTGCTGTTGTTTTACATAAATTCTTTGCCCTAAATGCATTGTTTGTCATCTGATAGCTTAGATACTTGGCCAGTCTTAGATACAAAGACTTTGATGTTTCATTCATTCATTCCGGAAAGAGTTTAGAAATATTTTAATCTTTTGCTTTGTTCATTTAAGTCATCACAGAAAATTATAAATATAGCCACAAAAATATTTTTGCGACTTAATCATAAAAACTTGCTTGTAATACTTTGCAGTTAGGTAGTACTTCATACTTCTAAATGGAGCTCTGGTAGCATTGTGGTTACCAGTCGGGCTGCTAATCTCAAGGTTAGCAGTTCAAAACTCTCAGCAGTCCTGTGGGAGAAAGATGAGGTTTCCTGCTCCTGGAAATATCTTCAGCCACGGAAACTCTATACAGGGATGCTATGAGTCAGAACAGACTCCATAGCACATAACCATACCACCACCAAACTTCTAAAGCAACTTCCATCTCTTGGAAAAGTTAGGTGCCTATCTTATATCATGAGTAGAGGTAAATGGCAGAATTGGTCTGGTTCATCCTTCTCTTAGACTGTTAATTTCACTACTTATTCTTCTTTGCATTTCAAAACTCCTACTCTCTTCCATCCAGCTATAAGTAGATTTAACACTTCCTAGCCTGCATAGAAATAAAGAAAAGTATTTGAAAAAGCAGGAGGGGGCAAAAAAAAGCCACCAGTAATCTGAAAACACTGTTAATACACAAATCTTTGCCTTTTTCATAAGCATTTAAAAAAATTTTATCTGAATTTTTCACTTAGGAGAAATAAAAATTACATAACCAATTAAATGTTTAATTTACTAATCAAATATTGTTTTAATGGCATTTAAAATTACTTTCCCTCAACAAATGTCTGTCAGAAGGTCATGCCATTATTTATTTAATAAATCCTATCATTCTTAAAATAGAAGTCCCCAAATGTTTATTGAACAATTTTTAACTCTTTGCTATAATTCAGAGTGCTGTGAATGTCTTTACAATTGATACCCCAGTTTTCAACAGACTCAAGCATCCTCAGGATTGTGAAGACAGTACAGGATCAGATAACATTTTGTTCTGTTGTCCATGAGGTGGCCATGAGTCACAAATGACTCAAGAGGAGCTAACAAGGACAGCAGTGAAGGAAGGAGAGCAAATCCCAAACACAGATGTATTTGATTACACATTGACAGTCATGCAAGAGGTGACAAATGGACTAGATACAGACTGTAGAGCCCTTACCTGCAAACAGGGATACCAAGCACCCAGAAGAGAAAAAATGATATAGATATCACAGATAAATTTGGGAGGATGTTCCTCAGATGAAAAAAGATGGAGGGAATCTATAAAGATACTCTGAGATACAGTCTTACAAACAAGACAATTGCTTATATTTACAAACTATAAGAATCTACTGGAGGACCGACCCTAGGACCATCAAGGGAGAAGAGCATGAGAGAAATGTGGGATCCTATCTAGAGAAACAGTGACACCAGAGATGGAGACAGAGATGAGGGCATGGAGAACTAGAGCAGCTGAGGACACTGGACTCTTGGAAAGAGAAAGGCTGTGTGTTGATGGCCAGCCAGGAGGCAGGCTTGCAGAATGTGCCCTGTGGTTGTTTAAATGGTTATATATTCTGAGTGTTTTTGTGTACATTCTCCCCCACCCCCCCAAAAAAAAACAGAGGATAGAAGCAAATACTGTTGAATGATGATGCATGGAGGGGGTTGTAATCATTGCAATGAAACGATGAGTGTAAAACTAATGTTCTCTCATGTAAACTATCACTCAGTTGACAATAAACACTTGAAAAAAACCAACTGGAGGCAACCATAAAGAAAAATGAGCTTTCATCCAAATGAAAGAAGTGAAGAAAGCCGTTGGGTTTTTCAGCTTAAACCATAGAGAAAGCACTAGGCAAAAGAGAAAAAAAAAAAAAAAAAAAGCCATACACTTTCTCCTCACTGAAGGACAATGTCAGTATCTGAAATTTTTTGTTTATAGCAATAGTAAAAACAATGCTATATGACTACTCTGTGCATTAACAGCGTATTCTGTGCGGAGCTGTGATGTGAGACTAACGATGGTTGTGATGGGTAAGGTTATTTGTTGACTTGGCTGGGCCATGAATTTCAGGGGGCTGTCTGTTATGTAATGACGTAATTTGGCAATTATGTTATGACGTAGTCATCCTCCATATTGTGCTAGGATATGGTCATCCTCCATTTTTGCCTAGCAACCTGGTCTTTGGAAGCTAACTATGTTAAGTAAGGAGTTGGTATTGTGGTTGTAAGTGCCGTGGAGTCAGTTCCAACTCATAGCAACCCTGTATAGGTTTGCAGGAGTAGAAAGGCTCATCTTTCTCCCAAGGAATGGCTGGTGGATTCGAACCACTGATATTGTAGTTTACAGTCCAGTGCTTATCCTATAAAGCCATTGTGCTTATAAGTGAGGAGTGGATGTAGTTTTAAAACAACAACTTATTTTTCCCTCAAAATAAGTTCAAAGTTTATGTCAATCAGAATAAGAAAAAATATAGTGAAAAGATCAAAAACAGCTCACAAGTTACATTTTGAAAAAAGGTTGTTCTTGGGCCACAAGAAAAGTTTAAAACATAAGGTTGGCAGTTCAAACTCACAGACACTCCTTGGAAACCCTATTCAGGGTTGCTATAAGTCGGAATTGATTCAACAACACTTAGCAACAACAACAACAACAAAAATGAAGAAGTTTACAAAAATAAAATTGCTTAAATCTTTCATAAAAATTAAAAGTAAATGTGTTTTTGTTTATAAATTTCTAATGCCAGACAATAACTTTAAATATTGATCCCTAGATATTTTATTTAAAATATTATGTAATATGTTGTTGCTGCTGTTAAATGCAGTCCAGTTGGTTCCAACTCATAGGACTCTGTATAAATCTTTGTGGGAGGAGAGAGCCTCATCTTTCTTCTGAGGAGTGGCTGGTGGTTTTGAACCGTCAACATTGCAATACAAACTGACCTTTCAGTCCAGTGCATTATCCTGCAGTGCCACACCAGGCTTCCTGTATGTAATATAGCAATAAAACATACTATAGTCTGCAATATTGTGACAGACCTAATACATAGAAGGTTTCTTAGCCTTAGCGCTATGACCTATGACCCTGCAAAGTCTTGATTAAAAGTATTTCTGTATTTTAAGTACTTCTTGTCGCTAAATGCCGTGGAGTTGCTTTTGGGGGCTGGTTAGCTCCTTGCCATGGGAGCTTTCCTAGGCACTGTTGGTTGCTTAGCAACATCCTTGACCTGTATCCAGTAGTATCCCTTCCTTTAACCAAAAATGTCTCCACTCATTTGGAAACAATGAATCTAATGGAACAAATGAACATCAGTTTCCACAACCCTGAGACTATAAGAACTAGATAGTGTCTCTACTACAACCAACTACTCTGAAAGGGATAACATTAGAAGGTTCTGGATAGAGTGAAAGAAAATTTGGAACAAAATTCAAAATTATAAAAAAGACCAGACCTACTTATCAGATAGAGACTGGTAGACTGAGACTCTGTCCCTTAGTCACCCTATAGGTCTGGATCTCACCCCCGTGGCTCAATTTTAGTCAAGCAGTAGGGGGAATAGTAGTACTAGTGAGTTACACATACCATAGAATGGTCAACCATTTGAGATTAAAGGAGCAACATTTACCTAAGGATCAAGTTCAGAAGGGTTGGGAAAGAAGGAGGGATGGAAACAGGAATCACAGAGAGGACGTGGGAAAAGTGATGTCACACTGTAGGGATTGCCATCACTGAGATGGAACAAATGATGATCTGCTCTGAAAACCTTCACTCAAATTACAATAATAATAATTAAAAAGTCTCCACAATTGCTAAATGTTCCTGGGTTGTAAAATTGCCCTCTGTTGAGAAGTACCACAGTAAGCATCTTTGGAAAAATACAAGTATTATAAATAATTCACATTTAGTGGATTAGTATGGGTTCTTTTTCCTAGTCTTTTACATTAGTGGTCCTATACAGTATTTTTCATTTTGTGACTGACTAATTTCACTCAACATAATGTCCTTAAGGTTCATCCATGTTAGGAAGTGGCATGCAGCTTCCTA